AACAACTTTTTTGCCTATCGATCGACTCTTAGGAATGTGTGCGTGCGCAGTAAAATCAGTTAAAATAATGTATTACCACGAATTTTGAATTTAAAAGATTAAAAGGACCGAACGTTTGAGATTTTTTTTAATTAATTTTCTTCACCATTTGCCTATTTTGCTTATTCTAAACCTTTTCTGCAAATTTGGCTAGTTATTGCAAAATAACCCTGTATTATCATATGAGAGTAGGAAGCAAACAAAGGGACTGTTGGTAATTGGCTCATGCAGCACTTGATAACCTGTAACAAATTTTAAACAAGGGTCACAGAAGTTTTGTCATCCCTGATGACTAAGATGAAATCTCTCATAGTCTGTAAATACTCGCTCTAGAAGTCGACAAGAGAGTAGGGGCCCTACTCTCTTGTACACACGCGAACCAAAGGGAACCAACCAAGGAATATATTAATTCTATATAATATTATAATTTTTACATAATGTTAACAGTCAATAAGACGGACCACCAGCGACATCTATTAAACAGTGTTTGAAATTGATGTTACCAATACAATTTTTTGTTTCATTGGTACAGAGCTAGAAAAATTTATGAAGTAGATATTGTATGTAATCCAAACACATTACCTTAAAATTAAATTTTATCATTAGAGCCGCTTAAAGAAAACTTATTACAAGTGTAAATAAATTCTTGTTTAATCATATCTATGTTCTAACTTATACGTAAATTAAGGCAAAGTAGGCATGTATAATAGAATAAAACTTTATAATTAAAAACTAAGGTTAAAACAAAACAAAATAAATAGTATTTTTATAACTAAACAGTACATTCATAACATTGTTTTATATTATATAATTGGGTAGTTAACACCCCTTAAATACTTAATCATATCATAACAAGTATAATTAATCAAATTCCATATTTGAATTTCTCAAAACGCTGTCGATTTTTCATTATAAATTAATAATTCGATTTTCATTATTGCAAAATATACATTAAAAATGCTTATTTTGTCATAAAGGTAGATGTAAATAATCTGGTGCAGGGAAGTTATAACTACATATCTATTTAATAAGTAATGTTATTGTGTATATTTGTTTTCAGAATAAACTAGTCTGTTCGGCGAGTTAGAATAGAATAGAATGATTTTTATTCAATATTGATTATTACATAATACTCATTGAAAGTCATTTTTTTATTTACCATTGGTTCGGAAAATACCTTCTGGGAAGAACCAGCAAGAAACCCAGCGGCTTTTTTTTAAACATAATTTCACTTAACAATAATTTTGTTTATACAATTTTAAATGAATTTTCATAGAACCAGCATGGTGGCGCTCACCTTATTCCCAGGGGTTATTTTCATTCATGTATTCCTTGATATTATAACCCTTTTTGTAGTTTTTCTTTAATAAAACTTTTAAATTTGTTTATTGACAAACTTTGAACATGTTCTGGGATTTTGTTGTAAAAGCGTATACATTACCCCATAAATGAATTACTAATTCTGTGGAGTCTAGTAACTGGCATTTCAAGCCTATGTTTGTTCCTAGTGTTTAAGGTATGAACATCCTTATTTTTATTTTAGCCCTTGCCGGGAGCTGCATACAAGAAAACCTTTACACATGTTTTTGTATCATTAAAACTACATTATATCAAAAATACAAAGTTGAAAATTTTGATTTCAGACCTTATTTGACTGGACTATTGTCATCGTTGTGATTTGAAACCGGATGAAAAGCGACACTAAAGAGACAAATGTATACATGTATAGGATTTAACTTGCGAGAGAACGAGATAGAATACAGTGTAGTAAGCGACAGTGGTCTAATGGCAAGGTGCGGACCGCAAACTCAAAAGGTGGGTTCGAATCCGCCATTTTTTGGTTTTAATCTTACCAATAGTAGTTAAAGAAAGTTATGGTAATGTTAATAGCATTGCTAGTATTTTTTTTAATTGTGTTTCCTATTATTTCGGTTTGCTCTTTCTGCGGTGCTTTAAAGATGGTTAATATAAATTTTAAATGTTAAAATAAACAGTTCATAAAATAACGAACTTATTAAATAAATTAACCATATTAAATAAAATTATTTCAATATACCAATCCAGGATTTCATAAATTCATGCCATCTATCGTCTATTGTACGTAACACCTTGAGCGTCTATCAAATTTTGTTCGATAAAAAGACTTTTCCTATAGAGTAGATGGCGCTATTACAAAACAATTTTATTAGAAAGAAAATACTTTTAATTTATTCCACTAAAAGTAAGTCTAAAAATAAGAACTGTAACATTTATTTGCTAAAAAATAAAACTTTTATCTTATATTTCATGCCGCACTTGTGGTTCAAAATGATGATATTAAATAAATCATTTGCTGTGAAATCTTGGGGGCACGGTAGTGCCCCCGCCAAGTCGAGCAAAAAAGCAGCACGGCCGTACCATCCTATTCTCGAAGCAGTTCAGGCCATATTCGAAACCCTATAACTTCATTGTGGATAAAACTAGAAGCCTAAATTTTCATGAACCAAGTAGGCATTGTATAATCTCGATATTTTTCAAATTTTATTAAATTTTATATAGTAGTTTAAGAATTATAACTAGTCAAAGTTTCTTAATTTTGTCACTCACTGACTGACCGATCATCAAAACTCTAAGGCACTTCTAGCAGACATAGAAGCTTCAAATTTGGAATAAAACTATTGTTTAGTATATAAATCAAGAAAAAATTAAAATATTTTGCAATTTCGGTCCAGTTTTCGAGATAACACCAACTGCATAAATAACTTTATAATCCCATATAAATATATAGGATTACAAAGTTACATTTGCAGTGAATGAATCAGTGTACCTATATATGTGTAATATAATGGAATAATAGGTGTAGATAGGTACCTAGATATAACTATCTACAAAAAGAAATGAGATACCATAAAAAAACATAACTTGTAAAAAAAACAAAGTCTCGCAACTCAGTTATTCTACCGTAAAAATTGTGAGATCCATGTAATACCAAGTCGGTTAATTTATTCAGTCCCTACTTAAGGGTCCTTCTTTCTTAAGTAATTACGTAATTAGCTAACCTAACAACATCTTATAGTGACCATATCAATATTAAAAATCTTTTATGTTTTAAATAAATAAATTGACTTGGCAATCGCTTTTAATATAATATGTATTACTTGAGAGATACATTGCGTTTTCATGCGATGGCGAACTCAATCTATTTATGTTTATGTTATGTTAAGTTTTTTTAGTCTAAGTTATGTTTTTTTATGGTATATTTTATTTTATATTTAATTTAATTTGAAGGTTTCACGTTTACCGCGTGTGACACATGATTTTTTTTTTACTATCTGTCACCAAAAATAATTAGCGGGTCGCAATTTGTAATGGGTTTAGGAACCCTGCTTTTTTATGAACTTTCACCGAACAGACCATGTAAAATTGTGTTATATTTGATTATTGCTAAACAGCTTAAAAACGTCCCAAACATCTTTTTGGTTTCATGGATAGTTCCCGTTTAAAAACAATGTATCACGAAAAATAACGAAATAAATAAAACAAATTTGACTACAAGATATTATGACACGAATTATTTCTATTCCTATAACAATTTATTTAGATAAAGCACATACATTTCGTTTTTAATAAACATAAGTGTCAAGTGTATTTGAAAATAATCATTATTACCCTAAAGAAATACAATATGGGAATTGTTGCCATGTACAATTATAATTTTTTTTATAGGATAGGATGACAAACGATCACACAGTCCACCTGATGGTAAGTGGTTGCTGTGACCCATAGACATCCACATCTATCCTCAATAAAGAATCCAAAATGCAGATGAGTTGTCACCCGTGAGGACTAAGATGGAATACCTCTTTTCCAATAAAAAGGGTCTCCGGTTCTCTACACTCACCATACAAAACACAGCAGTATTAAGCTGGTATTCTGTGAGAGCGTGGTCCTTCCCCGGTCGAGCTGTATAGCTGCAGCATGGCTCTACCATGTAAAATAATGTAGCAACAGTTTGCAATACTCAAATACAAGTGCATGTTAATGATGAAATATACATGGTAAAGTTATAGTTACAAATGCTTATTTAATATTTCCATCCATCCATCCATAACAGCCTATGAAAGTCCACCGCTGACCATAGGCCTCCCCCATAGATTGCTATGGGGGAGGCCTATGGTCAGCCCTATGAGGCAATCCTCATAGGGGTGTTTTTGCCATAGTTGCCACGCTGGCAACCGCAGTTGTTTTATTGTTTTGAGTTGTAGTCAGGAAGATATTGTTGCCCATCACTTGACACAGTTTCCCTCTGTCGCCTCTTACTACACCCATGGGACGATATGGGGTAGTGGGTATTTTTACACCGCCACGACATGTTTATATTTAATATTTACTATTATATAATCTAACAGCCTTACAAATAGTCCAGTGCTGGGCATACGCCTCTTATTTCTGAGAAAGTATGGTGATGGATATATTTTTATTAGTTTTGATTAAAAATAATTCTTATACTTGCTCGTCAGCTTTCCTTCTCTGCCAAATTTTAAACAGCGCCCTCTGGCACTAGAATATTCGAGTTGAGTGGGCACTTAAAGCTTAAGACCCAGGTTTAGTTTCGACGATTCAATTTTATGCTTAAGGTCGCTACTTGATTCTTCAATAGAAGAGTGATGTAACACATAATGCTCGGTTTAACTAACCAATTTCAATGGTATATCAAACCATTTTTAGACATTTATTAATTGCTGACGCAATGGATATATGATGATTTATCGTATATTTGTCACAAAATCCTATTAAAATAAATAACGGAAAAATATAATGTTGACAAATCAGAAGTGATCGGTATCGATATTAGTTGGACCTAGACAAGGCGGTCAAACGCAATTCTATCATGGAATTTGACATTCCTGAATAGATCATTAACATAAGAAATATATATATTGTAGCGTGTTCACATATAATTCATCATTGTAATATAATGTCTATCTGAATGCGTTCACGATCCACACAATGATTAAGATGGCAAAGACCATGCCAATGAGCATGAATATGAACATTTTCTTCCGGTATCTTCGTTGGTACTCCGCCGCCTTTGCTAACTCGTCCACTCCAGCTTCCACACCAGCACTTGCAGCTTCAATGTGACTTTCAACCGTATCTATAACGTTAACAATATTTTTATGTGGTAGAGCCATGCTGCAGCAATATTATAGTTGTAGTACGAATGGGCAGGTTCAATCAGGGAGGGTCCATGCTCTCAAAGAATACAAGTGTAAGATAGCAGTTTAATGCTGCTGTGTTTCATATGGTGAGTGTTGAGAAGCGGAGACCCTTTTCACTGGAAATAAGGTATACCATCTCGGTCATCAGGGGTGACAAAGCATTCGCATTTTGATTCTTAATGGAGGATGTAGTTGTCTATGGGCCACATCATCCACTTAACATCGGTGGACTGTGTGTTCGTTTGTCATCCTTATTCTATAAAAAAAAAATGTTTTCTCATAAGAGAACACAATTTAGAATTTTAAATAAAATAGCAAATTTACAATGCGATTAGGACAAGAATAGGAACCAATGACCTCAACCTGTCAACTAACACTTAAAAAGTAAGGTTTGCAAGGAAAACTATTATGTATACATTAGTATTACAAAATCTTTTCAAGTTTCAATTAGTTGAATATGGCAGAAAGCCAGAAGTAATAGAAAACTCATAATAGAACATTGAGTTATATGTACTACGTACTAGAGAAGCCATTCTAAACAAAAATTGTGTCCTACTCTACGTCTTCGCGCATGCGCGGTAGTAGTAGTCGCGCATGCGCGAAGACTTTAATTTAATATAAAATAAGATATTAATATAAAATAAATATAAGAATTTAATATAAAATATCTTAATTTAATCTAAACAAACATATTTCTAAATAAAATGTAATAATAATTATTTTATGGAATTCACAAATCTTCAATTTACGCAATATTTAGTTTGTAGGGATTGCACTACAGTTCAGTTGAACATAGTCAATGTTCGGAATGGCTTCTCTAGTACGTAGTACATATAACTCAATGTAATAGAAGAATTTTCTATTATTAATATAAAACATTCTATTAAGTTATAGACTCTTATTCTTATCAAAATCACCAGTTTTAATTTTTAATTAATTACGTCATTAGCAAATTTTACCAAATGACCACAAAAACAGAAGGAAGATCGCATTGTACATAATTTGTCTGATCTTTCAACTTTTTTTAACTTATGTAGATAAATTACTATTATTAATTGTATTTTACAAACATAAATTCAACATTGTTGGATGTTTAATCATGTTCAATGTGCACCAAGAACAATTATTTGTGGGTCATACAAATTCGAAAGGGATTCGAACACGCGGCCCGCAGCGAAACGCTTAGCCACTGCACTATCAAGCCTATAAAACACTATAAGACAATTTCAAACTTCAGAATAATTTACATTCATTTGTCAAGAATAAGTATAAATAGTTTTGAAAATCCTAAAGTGCACGCCTCATGAGTCTTTCATTTAGTTTTGATGAAAAAAAAATAACCCCAAAAATCGATTACACAAAGTATAAAATCGATTTAGCCTGTATGGTACATTCGTTCTTTGTTTATCAAGGGCGAAAGAAAAAATTTAAAGCGCTTTTAAATTTTTAATAGCAAAAAACTTGAAAATCATTTTGTTAACAAATGACGCGTACTATTAATATGAAATAGGGAACCAGTTGATGTAATTGTGAAGCTAACAAAAAAACCCCGGTCTCGATACGTCAATTTTTCCGGAAGTTATCATGACCACATACAAAACCAATATCCGGACGCCCATGTAAAATTTTTTCAAACCGTATTTTATCAAAGTAATAATATAAAATAATTTTTAGAAAATATAAGATGGATTAATTAGTGTTTTCTTGATAGACAGCTACTCATATTATCGTAGTGCACTACGGTTATGATAGAGGTATTTTAAGATCACAAAATTGCTTGACCTTGACGTGTCGAGAGTACACTACCTAATAACGCTTCGCGTTATGAGGTGTGCAATAAACAACACTTACCAACAGTTTGCGCCTGCGCACTAACCATATCGGCCAATTCCTGCATTATCTGGTTAACATCCAGGACATCTGCTTCTATTTTATTTATATAGGCCTCCTTCTCTAACAACATGCTTGTTTCGAATTGAACGAGACGAGCCTGAGGACAATTGAATATTTAAAGGAAATTTCTTGCAAATTGAAGCGTTTTAGTGTTCCGCTTTTATGTTAACAATACATTTCGTTTTGTCAGACTCCTATGACGGATGCGAAGGTTCATATAACTTGAAAGAGTAATTTAGCAAATTAAAGTCCTTCCGATATAGATCTCAATTTTAAAGTATGAGGTATTGCAATCGTTTACAGTATTTGAAACACCTACTCTAACAAACAGTAATGACAGATATTTTCTTTGTTGTACGATAGGCCATAGAACTTGTATATATATTAACTTTTATAAAATTACCTGTGCCTGTTGATTAGCTAGCAGAGCCGCTTCTTCATCATCAGCGATGGCTTGTTGTTCCATTGCTTGAGGGTCGTTCCTAACACGAGGTTTTGAAGGCATATGCGCCGCCATTTTTTCGGAGACTTGCTATAATTATTATTAATATAATCATTGCTTTACTTCTTCACATCTTTATCACATCACAACATTCATATAATAGTATCTTTAAGTTTACTGGCTGAAACAGTTCTTTCCATGTGCAAATAAAAAGATTTGGGATTTTTATTCAATATAAATTTTAACATAATATTTATTGAAAGTCAATTTTTGATTTACCACTGGTTCGGAAAATACCTCTGTCCTAGGAATGCCCGATCTGGATCGATTTTCTGAAAAATCGATTCACGGCCATACGATCTACCGATTTTTGAGTCGATTAAAGGGATGCGATCTTCACCCAGATCGAATCGTATTCCTATAAGATCGTATAAAAAATCGTATCAACAAAAAGTCAAACATCAACCGAACCGTAACATACTAACGTACGAACCGATCTTTATATACCTAAAGTATTGCCGGGGAGGGGGCAGAATAACTAAAACAAAGTTAGATTACGTACCTACACATTGAATGAGAGTAGCTTCGAGTTACATCAAAAGCGGTAATGTATGAAATATGAAGGCAGGTATGATAATGTTTTGTTTATTTTATTATCGGGTACCTATGTTACCGTTCTATGATCTTTCATTCTTTGTATCATTGCGAAAAGAAAAGTTGAGCTGTCCTGTGAGCGTAAACTATTATTTAAAATACTTTTTAATATGGCTCCACAAACCAAATGAAACGTTTGGGCTTTTTTAATTAAAAGTGACATGGGTGAACAATGTAAAATGTGTTGTAAACAGATGGTTAAAACTATTCGAAATACTAAGCAAAAGTGTAGAAAGTTCTACTAGAGCAATTGCCGAAATCGTAAGTATCTATCTTCTATACAAATAAATAAAATTGAAGTGTCTGTTTGCAATGTCAAAATAACAGCTTTTTACTAAATACATATCAAAGTATATACGGTACTAATAACAAAAAGTAAATTTTTAAAATTTTTGCCTGTCTGTATGTCTGTCCGTCTCTTTGTTCCTGCTAATCTCAATAACGGCTGGGCTGATTTTGACGGGACTTTCATTGTCAGATAGTCGATGTTAAAGGGAGTAACTTACGCTACTTTTATTTTAGAAAAAAAAGATGCCGTAATAAGCTAGATCCAGTGCGGCTGGCAAAATTATTATTTTGAAGAGTTTAAATTAGTGATTCAACGAATACTACTTTTATGAATAGGAATACGAATATCTCGCCATGGAAATAAAAAACTAATTTATTTGATGATTTTCTATTGTTCTAATAATTAAAATTTACAATAGGCAAATTTTTATTAAAAAAACAAAATTTGTAGATTTTCTGGTTTTAGGCGATTTCTTATTTCAGTTTGGATGTTCCCAGCCGTTGAAATAGTTTTTCTGAGGCGACTGAACATAGTTTCAGTGAAAAATATTTTTGCGAGTCCCCCGTCGTTGAAGCTAAGGGCCAAAACACATGTATTTTTTACGCGCCGACGACAGGCGTTATCCAAGTCCGTCAGTAATTAGAGTTGCGTACAAAAATATTAGTTTTTAAATATTCGTGATTAGTATTCGCCGAATACGAATATTCGGTAAATGTCTACTATTTGCATCACTGGTTTAAATGTAGATAGCTGGAATTTTTAATGTAAAACCTGTTTTATAGGCATTGTTAAAATGAATAATTTTGCGCTGGTATTTTTTAATGCATACTGTGCTTTTCTTTATTTTTACAAAATTACGATGCGATTTTCCGAGATCGAGTAAGATCGATTTAAGGCAATACGAGTAAAATCGTGAGGTTACGATCCATTACGATCCTGTAGATCGATTCACAATAGAAAATCGGACATCCCTACTCTGTCCTAAGAAGAACAAGAAACCCAGCAGGACTTTTTTTTAGACATTATATAATAATAATTTTGTACAATTATTTAATGAATTATAATTGAACCAGAATGGTAGTGATTACATCAATCCCAGGGGTTATTTTCATTCATGTATTCCTTAACACTAAAATAACCCTTTTAACATAGTTTTCCTTTAATAAAATTTTTTTTAAACTTGTTGATTGACAAACTTTGAACATTTTCTGAGATATTGTTGTAAAAGCGTATATGTTGCCTCCTAAATTAATTACTAATTCTGTGGAGTCTAGTAACTGGCAATACAAGCTTGTGTTTATTCCTAGTTTTTACAGTGGTAGAGCCACGCGGCTGCTTTTGCTGTCGCACGGATGGGCCGGCTCGAACTGGGGTGGTACCACGACCTCACAGAATACCAGCGTGAAGTAGAGGTTTACCTCTGCGTTTCGCTTGGTGAGTGCAGGTGGCCGGAGGCCCTTTTTACTGGAAATGAGGCATTCCATCTTAGTCCTCATGGGTGACAACGCATCTGCATTTTGATTCGCAAATGAGGATGGATGTAGATGTCTATGGGCCGCAGCAACCACTTACCACAGGTGGACTGTGTGCTCCTTTGTCACCCTTATCCTATAAAAAAAAAGTGTGATCGTCTTTCAATTTTGTCTTCTTTAGATTCTTGGTCAAAAGCCTAGGTAACCAGGTTTTATCATAAACCCACAACAAATATACATTATATTTTCACAAATTTATTGTGATGCTAAAATTAATATGTTTATTTATTACATTTTTCTCTAAGGGACTCTTTACAATTTAAGTTATATGCCTTTTACGGATTTTTTAAAATTGATGTAAAATTATTTTCCCACTGTTGTAGTCTGGCAATCTGAATCTTAAATCTTTTTCTTCATCAGCCATTAAGTCATCTCTTATCAGTCTCTCCTTCCGAGTCCAGGGAAGATTTGCCTTAATTATTATGTGGCAGGTTGGACAATTTCAGTACCAGACGTTTAACACCTTGGTTAATGCTCCCTGTCACTGGCTAAATATCCAATTTACATCTAGCGTAAATGAGATGGTTTTACCACCATCTAATTGAAGCTGTAAGATTTTTCTGGAATTTTTCATGGTCGGCTTTTACATATTTTTATATTATGTTGTTGTAATTTTATAATGTATAATATATTTTGTATATATACATTATAAAATTACATAAAAACAATGAAACTAATGTGGCCTTCCCTTTTGTCTTCATGCTATAATTATAACTGCAATTTGCAGGTGAAGGAAAGTAACCACTTTAACCTACCTTTTGAACAGATGAGTAATTCGCCAGAGCGTCTCTAAATGCTTGGGTAAGTCGTTCTACTTGCAGTTTCTGAGGCTTATCGCCACGGCGCACTACTACACCCAAGCGCTGTATATCACGGGCCGTAGCCGATACGGAGCTGTTTACGTTCTGTTGGGTGTCGTGACTGGAAGTTGTAGGAATACAACATAATTATTGATTATATTTACACAAATATAAAACATTTTTATGGGGTTTATAATGTTTAGTTATAATAATTTTATACTCCCAATGTCATTGCAGCTTTGTACTACCCATGGTCAAATGGCTATTATTCAATGTCATATTTTTTAGAAAAAAAAACAGGGAAGTAACCAAACTGGAAAAAGGGGAAGAAACAATCTGATCTGTAGGTGAGAAATGATCTGACTCCATTATTGAGATAGTTATATCAATAGGTGTTGGAGAACATGAGATTTTTTAATCGTTTTCACTTAGTCAACTTATACAAGATCTACAGAATGACACTATCATGGTAAATAATATTCAAATAATGACAATAATAACTTCCCGAAAGCTTAAATGGAATCTTGAAGATAAACAAATTCATTATAAGTTTTTAATAACTCAGTAACTTATATGTTGATGAATTAACTGCATGTTACTATTATCACAGTGGGTGAGCTCTTCAAATTGGTTTGAAAGAATGTATAAAACTTTCAAAAAAATGCTGGTTGAAGATTAACAATAGCATTCACTAAAAAAAAAACGCATCAGTTATTTAAAATATATTTTTTAGTAAATGAGCAAAGTAACTAAGATTATAAGTAATGTTTTATATACTAGGATATAAAACTTTATTTAACCTTTTTATAACATTTATTTTACGATTGTCATTATTGTCAGAACAGATCAATGTTACGTCAACAATACTCACATTTTATCTCTAAGCTGAACACTGTCATTGGGACCACCAATTTGTTTCATCATCTTCTCCAAAGATCGGAGTCCACTGTTTATTGAGTTAATATTATCTGCAATACCCTCACTCAAGTTATATAACTCTGTGGGACTGAAGTCCGCGAAACCAACGGTAGGGGGCGCCGCTGTCGAACCATAGTCACGGCTCGAACCACTAATAGGTTCCCGTTCAGACATGTTGAAACTGAAAAAAAAAGTTTTTATTAGGGATATTTTATATTACAAAAATGAGGTCATCTGTAATTCCTATCTACTGAGGTAGATTCCGAAGTTATGAATGTTCCTCTAACCAATAAGCTTTCTAAATTTGTTGGCAATCTGAAACTATATACTGTAGTATGTATCCACCTATCCATCCATAACAGCCTATAAAAGTTCAATACTGAAAATAGGCCTCCTGCATAAATTACCTAATAGTGGTATTTTGCCATAAATGCCACAATTTGACAGACGGACTAGCAACTGCAGTTTTTATTGTTTTGAGTTGTAGTCAGGAAGATGCTGCTGCCCGTCACCTGTCACAGGTTCCCTCTATTGCCTCAGAATATCCACTGCACCATAATATACCATACCATATATATACAGTTCTTGTGTTGACTCTCACAACTCTCACTGACTCTCACAACTTCACATATCATGATAATTTAATTTGGTACTTGGCTTAGCTTTTCACTGACATCTGTCGAGTTGGCTGTTGATACGTATTTTTACAGAAAAGTTACACTATTTTAAGCACACACACAAAGTTTCAACATGCTTCCGAATCAGTCCCCTTATTTTTTTATGATGAAGGGAATTTTTTTCTCATAAAATGGATTTATATTTACATTATAAATGCAAACATGAAAAAAGATACATCAGCTTACAATTCGAATCTATTTAAAAAATCGATCTTTCTAGGAAAGAATCGACATCCCTATTGACGTCGACAATGACATTACAAAATGGCGCCAGTTTATTAGCAGATTAGACATAAACATTGCAAGAATAATTGATTTTCAATTATTCTTTTCTCAAAAATTACGCGTTTCCGTATATTGAGACTTTGTGTGTGTGCTTATAATAGTGTAATCATTCTGTAAAAATACGTATCAACACCAAACTCCACTGACGTCAATGGAAAGTCGTACCGGCCTTGTCATAGCACACATAAGCTTGTCAGTTTGTAAGCTTGAACCTTTTACACTATTGTTGGATGTCGGAAATGTGTTTTGAATTAATTACGATAAAAATAAATTTCTCTAAAAACTGAATATAACAAACCTTCATTTACCACTGACCAACCTGACTTTATAGATAAGATAGATCGAATCTGTACCAAAACCGAATCACCACGTCCCGACTCCATTTATTCTTGTCTGCCCTATCCTAGTTTTTGTAAAGCCTTAGACACGGAGGGAGAGCAGCCCCGCCGTAGCAAATCGCAGGCACCTGTGCGAGCCGTAGTGGTAGCCGGAGGCAGGCAGTATTTTCTATTTCCGTGATTTTGGCGCTGTTGGCCTATGCGGCTCTTATAGTTTCATCTGACACAGGGCATCACATTTTTTTATTACACTTATTTAGTGTAATAAAAAAATGCGATTGTGAAATATAACAAATGTGATTTTATGATTTAGTTTACCTTAGAAATTGTGTGATAAAACAAGAATTTCCTTAATAATTTAGGACACAATATTTTTAACAAAATGCGACGTAATATTGACACGACAAAACATTACTATACACAAAGAATTTTCACAGTCAACAACTCACAAACCAGATTCACGTGCTATATTCAAGTGTCTCTAATCTTTATGTTTTTGATAACACGCCTAACCGGATTGTTAATTTTTTTTTACCTTTAAAGTAAAAGTGGTGATCGTGAAACGTATTTATTAGCTTGTTTCTCGTTTTTATGACGATTGACGAATACTGGAAAAACAACAAACGTCATATTCACCAAAAGTCAAACTATCAAAGATTTTTTTATTAAGATTTTTGCCTTGGATGCTTGTTTTTTAAGTCATGTTTTCATTTCATTCGGGTACTTCGTTTTTATAGATTTTCAGTATCAAGTAATAATCCTTTATAGTACACTGGTTCACAATATGTGACTGATTGCGTAGTTTTTAGGAGATTTTGACGGAAACTTGAGCCAGCAGACAGTTGGCGATAGTATTTCAAGGCACCTAAGCAGTCAGACACCTTATCTTGAGATTTATATCACCTTAAGATAACTTGTTTTTCACCGTTTCTACTCATAGTTTACATACTTTTGCATATTAAAATCCACTTCTAACCATTATTTAAACAATAACATACGAACAGCAATCCGTCACCAGTCAAGTTCCCGCCAAAACTCCCAGTTCCATCCCAACTGTCAAAGATGCACAGACCTCCGTACAGAGTAAGAAACTACGGGAGTCAGACTACACAGAGCAGTTTTGTTTTGAATACTGCTCTTAGTATGACTCTCTTAGCATAGGGCATTAATCGCCTCGCGGGGGCAAGGACGGATTATATCGGACTTTGTAGTGTTATGCTACTTACATATCATTTTACATTATTTTAAATTCATTTTTCCATTCTGTTTCGATTTTCTGCATTCACTTCAAAACTGGATATTTTACATCACCTTTATTTCCATAGGATCCTGTAACGATTTTAAACCATAAGAACACAATAACAAATCATTTCTACTTCGTATTTTCACATTATCAGCACTTTTAAATTGGTGTCAATGGAGTCTACCTTTTTTCGATCTTTTAGTTAGTTTTCCGTAACTCTACAATCTCGGGCTTTGTGTGGGCAGTTGCGCTACCTTTTTTCCTATATCAATAATATCTCATTTTCCACTTAAATCTTGCCGTTTTCTTATTACAAGCCTAAAACCAAAATTTGACATGTTTTGACATTGTTGTTTATTTGGTCTCCATAGCAATTATATTCAAATTTGCTACCGGTCTGTTGTTTCTATTTCGATAATTCCACATAAATACTCTTTTCTCTTGACCATTTACAAAAAATTTGCGTTTAATTTAAATAATTTTTCCGTTCTCTCTAGAAAGGTATAAAAGCCGAACAATCGGTGAAGAAAGGCAGTCTCGCTTCAGTTCTCGAATTGGAAGCATCTCCTAAAGGCCTTATCCCGGGGCCGCACTGCCCCGGGATCCTGCAAGCCTCTGTCCTGCTGGAAGCCACTGGACTCTACGAACCTCTGCTCTACCTGAAGTCGCTGGACTCTACAAACCGTTTCTCTGCCTGAAGTCGCCGGGATCCTACAAGTCTCTGCTCTACCTGGAGTCGCCGGAACCTGCAAACCTCAGTTCCGCCTGAAGTCACCGGAACCTGCAAACCTCTGTCCCGCCTGCAGTCACCGGATCCTGCAGGCTTCTGTGTTGTCTGAAGCCGCTGAGGATCCTGCAAGCCCCTGTCTGGCCTGAAATCGCCGGATCCTGCAATTACCACATTCACCGGAGGTCGTCGCCTAGAGACGCCCACGCCTTCTCACCTACGCCGTGCGTGCTCGTTCCAGGCGCTGAGAGCACACCTTGGATCTTCAGACTCAGCTTCGGCACTAATCTCTTTTTTTTATTACTTTTTTTTAAATAATCTGTAAATCGCATCATCCATCCTCATATTCATACTCCATTTTTGTATAAAATTGTAAATATCTTTGAATCTTAAATATATTTTTGTTTTTGTTGTATTTTTGTTGTTTTGTTGTTCTTAGGTTAAATTCTTTTTGTTCTTTATTGTCGCTTCACGACACCTTACACCGACTAAAACCCCATGGTGTTGCTCCTTCTCCGCTTATTGGCAGGGCCACGACAACGCTTTTGCACATATCTCGCTTTTGAACCCTCTAACTAAGTCTGTGCAGTGGACGTCCGTGAGTCTGATACGTGGATCAGACTTATAGGGATTGATGTTCAAAAAATATTTAAAAAAGCCTTTCGATTTTGAAAATAATACAATTTACATCAAATCATTCTCATCCCAAGTCCGTACAAAGATAGTCATAGTTGACTATCTATCTATATTATATCTATACTATTCACTATACTATAACTATACTACTCAATTCTGATGTTAATGCTCTACTGTGGGAAGAGTTGCTTTGTGATGACGTAAACAGTTCTGTAACTGATAAAATAAAATGATGTGTCTTACCTAGTTTGAAGAGCACCTCCCGCTCTCCCTCAATTGCGTGCATTATCACGGTCACCACTAATCCGAGCACCACTACTCCCAACACCACTACACTAGGAAAGACACACCACTGACTACAACACGACACGTGTTTCGCCTCTACACGAGGCATCTTCAGGTAATCTAGACTTTGCGGTGGCTGACTCAGTGAGCGGCTAAGTGAGCGGCGAGCCAAAACAACTCCTATTTATACAGACCGCTGACGCAACCGCTCCCTACTTCAGGAGCGAGCGACTGCGTCATGCGATAAAACATGCGACCAATCACCGCTGGACTTACGCAGCTGTTTGTAAAATTAAAAACAAACCGCGGCGCAACGTCCGCTTACCCTCCAACCACGCAACCAATCGCCGATCACCTTGAGGGTGACAAACAATCATATAGCGAGGCTGTCTGTTATTAGAGAGCAGGCTTAAAGATATTTAAGAGAGGTGAGTTAGAAACATTTGTTTGTTCATTGAGCAGTGCAACGTTATAATTATTACTTTTTAATATCTCTAACTGTTCCAGCACACACTATCGCAGCCCTTTATTACACATATGTAAGACTTTAAAGAAGTGAAAAGATGTTTAACAAAATGGGACTTATCGGGATTGCAATTCCTGGGTTTTAGGGCTGGACTAAGTACGGTTACAGCGCCATTGAGTATTGTCGATGATATTCTAACAGTGTAGGATAAAGGAGAGGCTATAATCTTGACACTACTGGACTTTTCGCGTGCGTTTGACACAATAAATACTACTTTACTTCTGCCGAAGTTAATGTATTATGGTTTTGACTGTTTTGAAAGTTATTTAAATGGTCACACACAGCGAGTCAGACTTCAAAATGATACTGGTGCCAACATTTTTCTGCTGCGTCTCCTGTTACTCGTGACGTTCCACAAGGGTCAATTTTAGATTGTTTACTGCTTATCCTCTTCAGTGTCGATATTACGGGTTGTTTTAAATATTGCCAGTATCATTTATATGCCGACGACCTTAAA